TGGGACATGATTTAATAAAACACAGTTGTCAGGATTCTAGGTAAAAAAATTTATAAAGAAAATTAATTTTGGAAGTTCCATTTCTTACAGATTACTGCTATCTCAATATTGTTGGTATTTCTTCATCATCACAAGTTCACTCAGAGCTCGAGGTAAACGGTTTGCAGCACCAGAGAAAACATAAATTTTAATGTTCTATACAGTACATTTACTGGTATTGCAAAGACAAAGTGTATGCTTCCAAGAGTATAGTCTTTATCACATGTACTTTGTGCAGCTTCTTAACCTGTGCTAATAATTCAGTGATAATTAGACAGCTAGACTGCTTCGGTTTGCCTAAATCATGTCTGGCATATGTTGTGACTCTCAGCAAATTGTCAGTGTCCCAGTTTTAGCTGGGACCGGGTTAGCTCTTCTTTTTAGTAGCTAGAAGAGCTCCGTGTTTTGGTTTTACTCAGAGGCTCACTCTGAGAAGAATGCTGATAGCAAGCTGACGTTTGTGGTTGGATGTGAAACTCCAAGGACTTTTCAGTGTGCCGGAGTGCAGAAGCACGGCGGGATAAGGGGGGAGCATAGTTGGGACAAGGGGGACACGATTCCCCTTGTGATTTGTGGTGGAACTTAAGATTGAGGGCCAAACTGGCCAATTAGTATTCCATATCATGCAGCGTCATGCCCAGTATAAAAGTGAGGGGCAGCCGGACAGAAGGGCTTTTGCGCTTTGGCTCTTTCACCGCTTTTGCTCTTTTGTGCTTGCTGCGCTTTTGCTCTGTTGTTTTTTTCTTTCTTTCTCTCTCTCTCCCAGTACTCCCACTCTCGGAGTACTATCTCTCTCTCTCTCCCCCTCTCTATTTCAGGGCCTTGCGTTTGTCCGGGATTGCAGCTTCGGGATGAGACGGGCTTCGCATACGAGGGGGTGGTGAGCATCTACCCTGTGTATTAAATCATCTGTATTAAATTGTTCTTATCTCAACCCATGGGTTTCCTGGTTATCCTTTAATTCTCTCCCTCATTCCTGGGGATGGGGGAGGGGGAGTGACCAGCTGTGTGGGAGGGTCAGCCTAACCCACGACAGTCAGTCAACTAGCAACAGATATATAGAATCAGCTGTGTACAGGATATAGCCATCTCTTTTCAAAAGCAAGAGGAGTCCCTGAAATGCTGACACACTTTGCATAGAGAGTCACATCCTTGTATAGAGAGTCACATCCCTGGCTTCTGTGCTGGGCATCCTCCATCTCTGCACCTTTGCACTTGGATGTCATATAGTATCATTTCTGATTTTAAACAAAATGAAGGAAATGTGTCTTTGACAAACCCCAAGGACAGAAAAGGGTCAATATAGGTTTTTAAGTGAAAAACATTTATGTGGTGGCATTATGTAGTGGTGTTAAGTGCATCTTGTGTGTTATAACATCTGTGAAGCGGATAAAATAGTTGGTTTTGGTAATCCATACAAGACTCTCATAATTTATTTCCAACTGAGTAACAAAGAACAAAGAAATGCTGCTGTGAGAGTGCATGTTATGCTAGTAATACATTTTCAGATGTTATAATCTACTCAGATTGATGCAGAAATAATTTAAAAAATATATACATTTCTATTCTTTCATGATACTTCATTGTGGCCAGATGGATTCAGAAACGATTCCCAGAAAAAAAAAATTGTTTTGTGTCATTCAGCCTGTATTGTAACATGATTTGTTGGCACAGCATTGTGAAAAGAGGCCCAGGTTAATTGTTCATCAACATCTGTCCACCTTGCAGCAAGGAGAGAAATTTTGATTCATCTGTTTTTCATATTAATCCTAGATACATTCCAGAACAATAGAGAAAAAGGACTATAGATGAAGCTTAGTGTTGGATCCTTGTTTATTAACTCTTTTATTATGCCTAAGTAAAAGATGCTCTGATTAATATTTTCCTGCTTATTTGTCTTTAAATCTGGTAGAGCTTCGCTGAAAAGTTCCTGCAGTATTGCAGCATTAGTGCTGCAATGCAACACTACTGTGAAGCTGGGGCAAGAAAGGGCAATAATCTTAAGATAGAGATATGGAGTGACTTGCCCAGAATGGAATGGAAGAGGGGTGATGGTATGTTTTGGATGCAAGGTCTCCTGCTATATTCCCTGCAGACACTGCTTTTCATGAAGGAAAGGGCCAGATACCTGCAGAATAGGGAACCTTTCATCTTTATCTCTTCCTTCTGAGCCCATCGAGACCTCCCCATGTGAAATTTGTACATCTGGGTGGTTGGAGGTTTTTAGAGGGAAACATATCTGGCAAACTGTTAGAAGGAAGTTATTTACTAGGAATTGGTGAATTAGCATCAGTCTCCTGGCATTGGGAAGTGTTGTAGGAAACTGAGTTTGCCTGAATTGTGCTTCTGGAAGAGGAATCTGAACAGCAGCATGTAGGAAGAAATAAATATATTTTCTAGCTTTCTCACACAGCTTATTGGGGTCTGCAGCACTGGGAAATCACCTTGCTGCATCTGTAAAAGCAAAAGGTAGCAAATACCTTGCTGCCCAGAGGAACAGTACTATAGGAATGAATCAAATCTGAGCCGTAGGATCTAAGGGACGTTTTTACCATGTTTGTGGAGCAGTAGGAGCAGAAAGGTAAGTTGCCCCCTGGCTAAGGTGGGAAGCAGGGAAGCAAGCCAAGGGGAGCTTTGTTCCTCTCCTGGTTTAATAAATAATGAAGCTCCTGGATGAGGGCAAGGTGTCTCACATACAATTTGCTAAAACACTAAATGGCTGAGACAAGCTGCACTGAGTGCTTTTTGGCTAACAGTAAAGAATTAAGGTTCCTGGGCTAAGTGCTTCCCCGCTGAGCTGTAGCTAAGGTCAATTTTCACAGGAACAGTTTTGTTACTGTGTAATACAAAGAAGGTATTCTGAGGGCTTTAGTGACAGCCCCTCCACTGGGTACCACAACAGAGCCACTACGCTTGCTGCTGAAGAGACCGTCTTATGGTTAATGTTGGAGGCTTTGCATGAAAATCAGCTTAGGTTCTCCACTTGGTCGCAAGCAGTTAAACAAGATTCGTATGTGCAGTTGCAGGACTACAGCTCTCTTCAGACGTGCAAGAAGAGCTCTCATTCCTGGCACAAGATAACAGATCAGAAACCCCAGCTTTGCTTTCTATTTTCTGCTGATGGTTTTGATTCACAGCTAAATTGTAATTACACAGGAAATCCAAATGTAAAGGTATGTAGCAGGGAGAGGTGCTTTTTCTTGTTCAAAAGCAGCTCGCCGTTCTGTGGGTGGTCGCGTAATTCAGCAAACGCCCACAAATGGCAGAAAGTTGGATCAGCTGGCTCCATGCAGCCCAGTGCCGGCGTGCAGAACTGTGGCATGCTTCACCTAAACACTCCAGGGCACTCCGTCTCTGCTAGGAGGCAAAACTGGCACTGGAAACAACATTTCAAAAAGGATCACGTTCAGAAAAAAAATATTAAAGAGAACAAATAACATGTAGATCAGGATTGTGGTGCTTTTACCAGGTGAGGTTTTTAATCCTCACTTCCTCAATGAAATACAAATGCAGAGAGTCGCGAAAGCCTCTGATAGAAGACAGTGGGTTAGGATTTTTTGTAATTGTGTCTAAGTGTCTGGGAAGGAATAGTCAGAAGTTCTCCATAAACCACTTTGAAAATGTGAGTAAGTCTGCCTGCCAAGATTCACTAAGTCCCTGCTATCCATTTTCTGGGCCACACAGTTTATTCCTATCTCTTTAAATTGAAAATTCACATTGAAAATGGAATGTTGTTTATCTAAAACTTTGATTATCCAATGGCTTATATGTTGTCTCCTGAGACATTTAGATAATCAAATTGCAGCAATACATGGAGAAAATGAATTGTGGCTGCAAATAACTACGTAAAAATTATACCTTCTTTCTCAATAATATAATTCAGTCATGCATCCGAGTCCAATCTGTTTGCTTTACTGACAGAAATACGGGTTTGGTCTGGAAAGCAAAGCAAAGGCTCCGAAGTCGTAGCACACTAGCTGAATTCTGACTCCAGTGTTGCCAGTGGGACTGTCAATAAAGTTGTGATTACAGGAGGTTTATTATCTACCAGAAAGCTGCCTGTGTTAGGGTTTTGTTTTCTCTCCTCGCTGTCACCAGCATTTCTCTGCTTATGATCAGGAATGGATTAAGGCTTAAAACGGCGCCCAGATTTACCAAAATTACCCAGTGCTCCAAAACGCTCCTTTGCTGCCTCTCCCCACCCAGTCTGCCCAAAGGATCCCTCCTCCCGCCCTCTCCCCGCAGGGTGTCATCTCGTCTTCCCCTGCTCCTGAGCCCTTGATGTCTCAGCCAAGGGAGGCAGCTGAGCCCCCCGGGGGGCGGCTGGCACCCCTCCCGGTGCTGCTGCCACCCGCAGTGCTCAGCCCCGGCTCCTGCCTGTGCCCCGGCTGCTGCTGACCGTGGATCCGGGGCTCCGAGAGAGAGGCTTAATCCCCTCCTGCTGATGCTGGGGATGCAGGAGACAGAACCACAGCTTGCTTTGCTGATGCAAGGGAGGTTTGCGGCAGGAGAATCTGTGACAGTAATATTTGGGCTCATAAACCAAACTCATTATATTTAGAAGGTGCAGAAAGGATGTATTGCATCTCCACAAAATGTCAGGACTACAAAATAATTTATATCTGCACTTCACACAAAGGCAAAACTGAGCAATGATTAAAAATCAAATCTGTGTTATTATCTTGCTATGGCATCACAACAGCAGCAGTATAAACTAAGGTGAGAACACATTCAAAGTCTTTATTTTCAAACTCTTAACAATCATTAAAAAATAAACTGCTCAAGGGCATGAAAATTGTCAGACTAAAAAGAAGATTTTTTTCCATTTGAAAGTCTAACAACATTGTAGCTGGCCATTTATAACACTGACGTGCTGGGAGCCTACTGCTCCCGGGTCAAAATTATTTCAGCTCTGCTAGCTTTTATGCATAGTCTTTTCTCCTTGTTCTTTCTGTACGTAGGGCAGACAGCGGCTGCCTGAAGATGTGGACGTGACATCGCATAGACGCTGCCTGAAATCCTCTGTGGGCTCCTGCTGCCATCAGGTCCCCTGGTGTCGACGACTCGCAGCACCATGGTGGGTGGAACCCCACAGCCCCGAAATGCTGTCCGTACAGCCCAGTTCCCTTGCTGATTTTAAATAGTCTGGTGACTATTATTACTTGAGGCTAAGGAGTATGGCAGTCACATGGCAGCTATAGAAATCCATTATGTTCTTTCTCAACGTCGGCCCACCAACAGCACAGCAACCCATGTATGTGTGCCTGTATGCGGGATGTATTTGTTTGCACACACTCACACGTGCACACCGAGTCTGATGCGGCCCCTGACAACACCAGTGACCATTCCTCTTCTGATCTCAGTGAAAGTTCATTCAAGCTGGTTTATGATTATATTGATATCAATGTCTGGAACTCCAGCCAGCTTGAAAATCAGAACTTCTGTGTTGCCTATCGTCATTAATAATATCTGAAAAATGGTTGCCTGTCATCTTTAGGTACAACTGGAGTATGAATTATGGAAAACTCCAGGGAGCAAATAGCAAGTAGTTTATGAACAAAAGGAGGCAAAACTATGATAGACAAATGTCAATATTTTGAATCAAGTTGATTATTTAGTGATTTTTTCATCAGAAGCTGTAAGATTGACCTTCTTTAGCTTTACAAATATATTATTTCTTGCATTGTCTTTTGAATATTAGACAACTATTCTACCTGAAATAGCTTAGGGGTTGTATATCCAGTTTTGAAAATGAGATATGGGCTAGGAAATCTCCTGGGTCTTCTCTGTTGCTGTTTATATCATTCTGTGTTTTTTGGGGCAGATCAGAGTTCTACAGTGACATTAATCAGAGTGCAAAATACAGTTTTAGTGTCATCTTAACTAATGAGTGGCTGAACATTTCCCACAGTAGGGGAAGGAACGATTCTATATCTGTCGTTCTGCCATATAATCCTGTGTTTCGCAGCTCTGTTTTGTCTCGTACATTGATCTGCACATTTTTGATAGTTTTACTGTATACGCGATGTCAGTTCTGCCAGGTAGCTCTAGTGCTGACCTCCCACTGCATTTCACACTGTGAGCTGAACAGGGATGTTACTCTTGTCATCAGGCTGTGGCACACATTTTGGGGTAAAGAAGCTCAAAGACCAGTCAGGCAGCCAAAATAGAGGCTGAAACAAATAAATGTAGCAGACCACACTTGGTTTGCTGGCATATTATTTATTTTGTTCATCAATGTTGATTGTAAAATCCTTTCCAAGAAGTCATTCAAGTTTGATATTATTCCTTTTTGAAGCTGTGGTTCATTAAAGCCTATTTTGTTATTAGCATTAAAGTTCCCCGCACATAAAGGCTCAGGCTCCAGGCTCCAGGTCAGGCACAAGCAGTTTAATAAGATTCAGATGGTATACAAGCTATCAGAGAGGTATAAAATTCTTCAGACTTGCAATAACAGCTCCTGTTCCTGGCAGACCATAATATCAGCAAACTCCAGTTCCACTTGCTGTTTACTGTAGATGGTTCTGATTCACAGCGAAATTGAAATTACACAGGAAATCAAAATATTCAAACTTAAAGGTATGTGACAGAAAGGCTCTTTTACCCTTCCAAGACTATTTTATAATTCTGAGGAACGAGGGCATTTTGCAGTGTTTAGCACACTAAAAATCTCACAGGGAGAAAAATATATGATAGGAAAAAAGGCAACATAAAAAGATACTAATCCTCACTCAAAAAATTGCAGTGTGCATAGTCTAAAGCCATATGATTGTAGAGACTTACATTTCCCATTGTTTAAAACATTGCTCCTGTTGTTTGACTTGAAAAAACATGGTGCAGGAAGAAAAGAGCAGTATTGGATAGAAACATCTGCAGACGTATCTAGCTCATCAATAACTCCTTATTTAAGCTCTGATTGGAATTTTTGCATGGAAATGAGGTTAAATCCCCAAGCAGCTGCTAATCCCCCACTTAGAGTTGTAAATTTCTGTGCTGAATACTATTCATGTGGATGAAGAGTGTCAGTCTTTGGACATGTGTTTTCATGTGTGTGTGTGTATGATGCACCTGTGTCTGCTCTAATTGCAGAATGCAGAATTTAAAAAAGAAAATGGATTCATAGGAATATTAATATCCTTCTCTATTTTGTTGTTAGCAGAAGATCTGATACTTACGGCTAGAAGATCTGCCATGCTGACAACAGATTTACAGCCTGGAAATGAGCCAACTTCACCATCTACTTATCTCCTATTTAGTTTGCTAGTGTTATTGGCAAATTGCACCAACATACCACCATCCCTTTCATTTTGACGGAAATGGAAAAACTTAAAAGATATTCAATGTTTTTTGTGTGAAATGTAGATACCAGTGAGAGCGATAAAAGCTTCAGCAACAAGGAAAAAAGAATGAAAGCTGGCAAAAATTATGTGTTCTTTCATGCTCTTTCAACTGTATTTTTGGATCAGTGTGATTACAAGGGAATTATATTCCGGTGCATATATATAAATATATATTTATATATGCATGTGTTGGGACACACAGACAAGTCATCCGTTAACAAAGCATTCTGTCTCTGGACATGGTAAAAGACTCACATTCTCATTTCAGAGCTGTTCTCAAACTCGCTAATTAATTCTACAACTCATATTCGTAATTACCATTATCATCTTTTTTTTAATAATGAATTTAAATTCCACAGAAACCTGGCTTCTTTTCCTCCCTCTGTCTCCACACAGAAAAGCTGTTGAATAAGCATAATCTATTTCTTATCTTTCAGGAACTCAGGCTGCTTCACAGTGTAAGCAGCTAAGCTGAAAGATTTAATTCATCTTGTTCATTAAAATTCAAATAATTATAAAGTCAGAGATGTTAACTTTTCAGTTATTACAATACAGCTGGCAAACAGAGACTGTTGCACCAACTGGGAGACTTAAAACCTCATCTTTGGTGGCCAGGTAATTTTATTTAACAGTTTAGAAGGAATTTAAATCAATACTTCTGAGAAATCTGCCTTATGAAATTATTATTATGCATAATTGATTTAAATGTGCTTTTCACAATCTCATGATATTTCACGTGACATACATATAGGGATTATTTCAAGTGCCTGTTTGTGTGTTTCGTGCTGTCTTTAAGTACTAGATAGAGTTCAGTCTCGTGAGGAATAACCCACAACCCCTTTAAGTCCTGATTCTGCAATTTTAATGGGCAATTGCACTTAATTATACAAGGTGGATGGGACTGCTTGAAACATTTGTGCTCAGGAGACAGGGCAGAGCTGGGTTTATAACCTTTGCTGAGACATTTTTGATTCCTTTTTCTAACTTTTTTCTCTCTGAAATCCTCCCTTGAAACATTTTTCTTCACTAGCTGCGTTTGCCTTCTCAGCTCAAGACTTAGGGTGCTTCCAAGAATAACCACCAAAAAAGTCAAGTGTATAGGTAGCTACAAGGCTTTGGCATTACCACACTTAAAGATGAAATATTTCCACCAAGGCATTTACTCTAAGGTATATTTTCACCTCCTGGTGCTACTGGTTAGTAATGTTCTGAATGGATATGGATTTATCAGTCATAAAACGAATGTCTCTCCTTTGGGAAATTCTCATGAACTTCAGCAGCACTGGTGCTCATTTACTGCTTAGTTATGCCTTTTTCTCAGTTATATACCAAAAAATGGACTCTGCTCCTGTGAGACTTGAAGAATGGTGGACTGAGTGAGACAAAGGGACGATATTCATAGCACAGCCAACCTGGCCCCATTTATAAGACAGATTTTGACTTTCAATCTACTTTGAAAGAAAGAAACTAAAAATTTGACTGACCGCCGTGTTACCATTATGCTGTACAGATGTGTCCCATTGCAGCCCAGAATGTTTGTGGATGCAGTTGTTTGGATGATGGGGATAAGGAGGCTGTTTGGATGAAGTGGAGGTTTTCTGATGTGATGCTCTTTTTGTCTGGTCAGAGACGCTAGTGATACTTCTAGGGCAAAGGGGTATTCTCTGAAGCTGACCTCAAGAGACATGAAAAACTGCTGTGTTATTTGGCAGCCAAAGGTACCTATACTCAACGCAAAGGGTAACTCCTAGTCTTGTGTGCAAGGACAGTAAGAGAAGAATTTGTGGACAATTAAATAGGAAATTCCTAGCTCCATCTTCACACTCCTTCTAAACGAATATCTCTCTCCAGCCTTTTATATTAAGAGATTAGAAAGAGTTAAATGAGCATGATTGCCATGGAAATTTCTTAGGCATTAATGTTTTCTACTTCTTCTGTATTGAATGCCCTTGTGATAGAAGAGAAAGAACAAACATCAAAAGTACCTTTTAACTTCACAATTCTTTCTAAATTTCTTTAAACTTATAGGCTATACTGCTGGCTTTCAAACTTCAAAGCAAGCAGGAAGATCAGGGTCACACAGAAAATTATTTCTTACAGTTTAATAAAATATGCATGTGAATTGTATGACCTGCCAGAGAAATTATTTATGTGTTAATGTAATGTTGTAACATTAATTACACACTTTAATTTCTTCCTTAGTAGCTTCTTTACCAGTAAGAACAGTACCGGTCCTACATTGGGTTTGAAACGTATGTTGTGTCACCAAAGCTTAAATTATTTTCAGACTGAATTGCTTTTTTTGGCTTCCACAAGATAATATTTTTTTTTTTTTTTAACACTTAGGGAAAAGGAAGCAACTGAGATCTTTTACCTTTAACTCAGAGGATTCATGCTGGATCATTTTCAGCCTCACTTTTCCACAGTGTTGTAGTCTATGCCTACTGTATTTATTGACAGTTGCAGAAATGCCTATTGCATGTTTTTTGTGAATGAATCACTCAGCTTTTATTTATGGCCACTATTGTAAAGTACTTAATCCCATAGGATTAGTCCCTTTGGATTTCTTTCCTTAGAGGATTTCTTACCTCTTTTTCTGTACCTGCTAGCACTAGGATGTATACTGAGTCTTATCTTCTGACTTACTGTTTATAAAGTTCTTAATAGATACAGAAAGTTCTATGTCACTTATTTCAATAGTGTCCTGTAGCGGTTCTGTAGTTCAATTCTAAATTGT